AAACCATGCGGACGTGGTGGTTGTCAAGGCTTACCAGGATGCCAGGATAATGGAGCGGGCACGACGGTTCTTGGAAACGAAGTCAGCATGAGTTGGAGGCATCGACAACTTCAAGGACTTCCTTGAGTTCGAGGTACGCATTGAGTCGACACTCCCATTCATTGAACGACTTTCCGTTGAACACGTGGACAAAGTGTTTAAAATCCATGGTTCAGAACAATGAATGTAGTGGGAAAATCCAACTAATTAACTCGAATTTGTTGTTACCGCGAGACTTGATAATGGGCAGACGTTTGGCCTTGTAGATGTTGTCGACTTCGTTCAAAATAGACTTGTCCACAAGGTCAGGTCAGTGGCTTGTTGGATCAGCAGGGAGAGTTCGAAAGTGGTATTTGTTGTAGTCTAAGACCTTGGGGTCGGAATGGGAAAAATCCTCAACAAGTACTTCTTGGAGATGCTTCGAAATTCGCTTAACCCACTTAAGTGCGTCAACAAGGTCTTGTTGGACTTTATCGGCACTGGTGTCTTCCTTAATGCGGCGAAAAACCTTCTTCAACAGCGCGGTCTTCTTCGCCTTGACTTGAAGCTTCTTGCGCAACTTGTTCCCTTCAGTCGCACTTACGAGGGACTTGACAGGATTTTGTATAAAATGGCAAACCCTACTAGGAGTTTAGTGCCAATCCAGACTCGCACTTACAGTCTTTCCCTATAAAGTTACTGCCCCAAAAACGAAACACTGTTTCGCATCACTACAAGCACTGTCCGCAGGCGGCGGTAAACGGGCGTGCTGGATCGCGGCGATTGCGGCCAAGGTCGGCCACACAAACTTGTCACGAGGTTTTATGACAAGGTGATGGGTAGGCGCGGAACGGGCAAACAAGGAGACTCAAACTCAGGTGCGGAGTTCGAGGCAAATGTGAAGTCGAGTTATCGCGTCTCACCCGCCCAAGCTCTTTGCGCAATGGCGCGGGCCAAAACGTATTGTCGAGGTGCTGTCTGATTGGATTTTTATCGTGGAAGATCTCGTTGAGCCTGATGGTCGCTCCACGCATCACGCGAGCCGCCTTCGTTTCTATTGCGACGCCTCGATGTCACTGAGGATCTCCTCAACTTCGTCAGACACAATGATGGCGGTCACATGGTCCGTTCGTTTGGTGGTGTCCGCAAAGGCGAACTGCGGCGTTGTAGGTCTTGGAGAAGTTGAGGGAAATGGAAGACATGCTTGATGTTCTTGGCGAGTTCCCACGTGGCTTCGCTTTCAAGCTGACCATGCCACTTGACGAGAAACTCGGGCTTGCGGTTGAACTGACGCTTCTTCAGCAGACTTTCAACAATGAAAAGTTCTTCATTCGTTTCGTCGTCGAGGATGATTGGCGTAGCATTGGGAATCGGACGGGCTGCAAACTTGGGATCATTGGAACGGTATGGCTTGAGGCGGTCAACGTTGAAGACATCGTGAATTCGCGATATATTGGCGGGCAACTTGAGATGGATGCATTGTCGTTAATTGCTTCAACAACTCGAAATGGTCCGATGAAATTGGGAACGAGCTTGGGGCGTTCGTTGGAGCTTGACTGCTGGGCATGCTTGAGTGTCAGGTTGCGGGTTGCAAGCATAACATAGTCTTTGGGCTTGAAGGTAACTTGCGATCGTTTGCGGTCATAATGCTCCTTTTGTTTTGCTCGGGCAGCTTTGAGATTTTCCTGAGCCATTTTCCAAATAGCTTGGCGCTCTTCCGAGAAGTTCTTGGCAAAGTCACTTTTAGGCAAAACTGCGTCAATGATTGGGTTGCGCAAAATTCTTCCGGTGTCAACTTGAAATTGCGAAAGTCCCGTTGAGCTTGTACGAGTCCTTGGTGGGCATACTCAATCGTCGCTAAGTGGTCGAACCAGTCGTCTCCGAGGTAAGACACTTGGCAACGTAGGGCATCTTCAAGAGTTCTATTTTGGCGCTCCGTAGCTCCGTCAGCTTGGGCACGTCCAGCAGCTGTCATGGCTTGGCGGATGTTCATGATCTCCATGAAAGACTTCCAAAAGTTGCTTGTAAATTTGGGGTCACGGTCGCTGATGATGACGCTCGGTAAGCCATGACGGCGAGCAACAAGGTCGAAAAAGAGTTTGCAGTTGCTGGTGCGTCTGCATTGGACTGCGTTGGTATGTACTTGGCGCGCTTAGAGAGCTTGTCAACTACAACTAAAATGGCATCGCATGAATTCTCACATAAAACAAAATCACTGACTGTATTATCAACAATTTATGTTTCTAATACTTAGTGCACGTCCCCTTGCACTGCAGCACGTCGATGCAACGCGATTTCATGGACCGAATGAGCTTGAAAAGGTACTCCTGATGAATGGACTCCCATTGCAGCAAAATTTCAGATTTCAACTCTTGAACAGACGAAAACTGCTGCCCATTGGCATACACTTCCTAGTGAAGTAGCCACAGACGTTCTCGATCGGATATCCATGCGAGCCGCGAGACGAAGACATTTAAGGCCGAGTTATCTTGTTGAAATTCGAACCCATCGGGGTGGTTCACGTGAACGAAAGGCATCAGGTAGTCGCTAACCGTGTCACAGAACGTGTAGAAGTCCCGGCAACCCGACAGCACGGCAACTTCGGTGACACCTTGGCTCGAAAATCATCACACTGCCCCCGCCGTTTTGTCGGCTCAAAAACGTCTGCTCTTCCTTGCGTAAGTATTGTGCTTTTCAGATAAAATTTCCATTTTGAAATGTCTTTGACAAATCGAAAAAAATCCGGATAACACAGAATATCCGGATAACTGTCCATTATTTTGGGTTCTAGACATTGCAAGAAAGTGCCGCCGCTCCACCATGATCATCGACGTCGTGGGCCACGAGCATGCCGCCGCCAACACCATGATTGATTCCAATATTCGAATTGAAAATGCCCCCTTAGTACTACTACGAGGTTTCAAGATTACTAGGAGTCTATTAGCTCTTACTACTAGTAGCGTTTTAATGAACACATAAGGGACCTCCAAAACCATTTCAAATCGATTTGAAAGAATCGATTAACTCCGAAGTTTTGGAAATTTTATGTGAAAAGCACAATAGTGCCAGTAGAATTGCATGCCGTCCGGACCATCTAAGTTGATGTCGTCTTTTTTCGTCAGAAAAGACGACATAGTTCCACCCGAGACCAAGTTCGACATGCGTTTTCGCCCGTCACCAGGGCGAAATTCGCCGGTTTAGCAGCGCGCGACCGGCTGTATCTGGCGACGCGACGTGCTGTATCACTCGACTGAGCTATAGCGCGATGCGTGAAGTCGAGGGAGGCAGCTAAC